GCTGCTTCGTCCGGTCTCTCTTTAGGGGCAACCCTGCGCAGAGGGACCAGACTCGCTCGGCTCCGGTGGGGAGCCCGGCAGAGCACCCCGAGCCTCAGGGGAGCCTCGGACAGCGGCTCCTCAGAAAGGCTCAATGGGGAAGGGACAGAACCAAACCACTGCACCAGCACAAGCCCCAGACGCGTCTTTCCCTGCATCATTTCACAGTCCCCACGGCGCCAGGACAGCGGCCGGCAGCACCGGCTCTCCAGCCCCGCAGCACAGGGGGCCGGTGGCAGAAGACCGGGCTGCAGAGTCCGGTCAGTGCCTCCAAACTTGTTTCTAGAAGGACGAAGCAGCATCACCACCTCCTTCCCCACCCTGCCCAAGGAAACCGAACAGCCACACAGACACGGGCCCTCGAAGATGCTCTGAAGGGTTGCGGACAAGCCCCCTGTCCTGCACTAATACCAGGGGCCCCATGGTAAGAGCCCAGAGAGCCAGGACTGTTTGCAAAACCACTCAGATGTAAGGGTTGAGTCTGAAATGCTCCAGTTCACCCCACAGAGCCCCTCTGCGGGCTGGGTTTGACGCTGCTGCCTTGGTTTGCCTTTAGTGCAGGGTTACAGCTGGAGAAGAGAGCGATTCAGGACTCACTCAGAAGACAAGAGCCAAAACCAGCCTGGGACCCACCACTCTCCTCTGCCAGAGGGGCACCAGCACAACACAGACCGCTACCAACACCAGCATCCACTTCAGCTGAAAGCTGGAGGGACAGAAGCAGGCCAGTCTGAAACACCGCCGGGGGGAGCGGGGCGGAAGGTTTTGATTAATGAGGTCTCCAAGCTGAAGCACAGCACCAGCTCCCATCAAACAGCCACCGCTGGCTGAGAGGAACGGCACCTTGGAGGGTGAGCAGCGAATTTCACCAGGAACCTCCGCTCCTGGGGCAGTGACGCCCTGACCACCTCCTCGGAGACCAGCCTAGAGACCTCTCAAGCCAGGTCTGACCACACCTGGATGGGCCAAAGGGTCTTCTACAAACTAACAGCGACCTGCTCCAGAAGCAGAGGTCAGCGTAGCACCTACCGTCACCACGTCCCACCAAGAGCAGCCTCCACGTCACCTCGGCCACTGCTTCGACACAGCACAGCAAGAGAGAACAGGCGGGCAAAAGCACAGTGAATCAAGTTTGCAACCCCACGCCAGGGTCGCAGACCTGCGATAGAAAAGCAAAGAGTAAACGAGCTTTTAGCTGACCCAGCTCCATCACCACCGCTGGCCAACGGCACCGAAGCAAGGCTGACACGCTGCACTGAGAGCCGTCGGGGTGGGGATGCACTGAAGGCCTCCCACGTCTCAAGCGAGTGATGCACGCTAAGCAAAAAGGGACAACTGGAAACGAGACTCTGCTTCAGGGCCGTTCCTGCACGTTTCGGAAGGGTACAGAAACCCCGTGCGCAGTTTTGCCATAAACTAAGGTGACCAGAGCTCAGCTACAGCTCGTGTTTGCACAAAAATCAACTGTTCCCTTAGACCCAGGTATGAAAAAGAAAAAAAGAGCTGAGCCAGCTTCCGAAAAGCACTACTTCTCTGGAGACTCCCCAGGTCTATCACAAGCAGGCACAGATGCTCTCAGAGGAGGAGAGTTTAGGGGCCTTGCTAGAACCGACCTGACCGAGATCAAAACAGCTTTCAGACCACAAACTGCAGGTACTCAATGCACCCGGGCGGTAACATCAGGCCAGCTCTGTTTAAGGAGCTTAAATATGTTTCCAGAGCCTTAGAAGCTCATGCTTACAACATGCCGCTCCCCCGCTCCCCGGCTCTGGCAAAGCCGCCTGTATCAGGCGGCTGATGTTTCTGAGAGGAGAAACCGCTGCCGAACCCCTGCAGCGACCGACCACAGAAGAGAGGAGTTAATGGCGGCATGGACGCAGCGGAGGAAGGAACAAGCTAAAACCACAGCGCGTAGGCGCTTGTTTGCAGGCCCACAGGTCAGCCGCAGCATTTGTACTTGTAAAACGTCGCTTTTAGTGTGACGGCCAGTTTTGCCCAAACCCCAGGAGGTCCCAAAAACCTGCACTTCACCCTCAGCCCCGGCTCCGCGTGTGAATTCCTGCGCTAAGTCCCTGGATCGGTTCAGAGGCAGGAGCTGTGATATGAACCACGGGATTAAGATGAAAAAGGCTGCAAGCGAGGCCGCCTCTCTGCCTGGGCTACCCAAGTCCTGTGCCAACACGTCGGCACGTCCCAGGCTCCCACAAAAACCTGCTTCAGAGCGAAGGCTGACCGGCCGCAGCGTGGCAAGGCCCAGGAGCAGCCGGCAGCGCTGGCCACCTCTTCCCGCAACGCAAGGACCTGCCTGGAGCCCGAGGCCAGGAGACCGCCATCCCAGCGGGTCTTGAAGGACTGCACCTCTCCCTGAACAGGTTGGGTTTTTTTTTTCCTGGTAATACTCTGTATTGAGATAAAACGTGCAAAACAGATTTAGGAAAGCAGCAGACAGTCCTATTATCAACTCAGCAGGTCCATCAGTAATAAAGAAAACCAGGATTAACACTGTCCCTGGAAGAAGAGATAACACAGATCGGCTCTCAAATACGGGACAGGAGGAGCCGAGGAACGGGCGCACGTCCGACCCGGCCCGCGCAGGGCTCTGTCCCGTCCCGCCGCGAGGACGGAGCCCCGCCAGCAAGGCAACCACCACCACCACCACACCACCACCCTCAGATGCTGTCAGCGAGGAATACTTTTATTCTTAAGACTTAAAACCCATTATCATTAATAAATAGTTTGTTTCTCAGCATGCCACACGCCACCATGGCAAGATGGTTTGGTCTTTCTGTTTGCTTCCATTCCCCTCCCAGAATCTGAAAGCAGAAATCACCGAATTTCTAAGAGCCCGAACAGAAACCCCCCAGCTTGGCAGCAGCACGAGTCCGGAGCAGAGTCAGCACCGAGATCAGGTCTGCTCTCTCCTCGCTCTGCCACAAGCCTGGTGGCACCGGAGCCAAGCGAGCCTGTTTTCCAGGAGATATTATTCTAGTTTCAAGGTGCAATAAATTAAGGCACCAAAAATCCAGGACTCTCCAAAGACAAAGCCTGTGCAGATAGGAAGTGGTTCCAGTGTTTAAGAGATCTTTCCCCTAGAGCACGACAAGTACGTGCAGGATTTTGGAAAGGAAGCCCTGCTTCCACACGGTCGTAACTTCACAAAGGGGTTTTTCAGGGTATATTACGTGCTGCAGAAGCGCACCAGCTCACAGCTTGGTGAGACAACAGACAAACAGCGTATTACCCAGACAAAGTGACATCCTACGATTTAAGATCAGGCGACTTCTCACAGCGTTAGCACTGGCCCAGTAACGCTACTGGGAAGAGACAGGGCAAGGCAAGCTCCGGGCTTGGGACCGCAGAGCTCAGCTGAAAGCCTGAGGGAACGGCTCAGTTATTCCCTGGTCCTGCAAACTCGTAACTACAAAGTAAATCATCCAACCTCCACTTTTTCCCAGTGCTCCTAGCACAATTTTGCTATCTGAACATGTCCCGTTTGTTGTGTCCCGTTTTAAGATTCCCTGTAATTCTTGTGCGAGCGTGACTTAAATTCATCTCCCTTCATAATTATATTTCATTAAATAGCAAGAGTCAAAAATTCAAGCACAGCCCAATTCTTTTGTACACTTAGGGTTTTTTTCTGTACAACGTCAGTAAAATATATAGGAGTAAGCTACTTTATTTAATAAACTCTGAACACCATTTGCCCCCTCTCCCGGATTAGCCACCCCTCCCAGAGGCGCGGTGGCCGTACGGACACGCGAGCATACAGACGTTGGGCCGAGCCCTCCCACGACGGCCGCCCAGACGAACGCCCCAGCTCGCTCCGCGCCGGGCGTACCGTGACTGAGCAACCCTGACGTCGCGCCCCGAATTCATGTGCTTGCCTTGGGATTTCAAGTTTCATAGTCTGCACGATAATGATTCAAATTTACAAAAGAAAAAGCATTAGATAGTAGTTAGAGTTTGAAGGTTTCCTAAAGCAGGAGTCTTCACCTGCAGAAGGAAAACGCTGTGACCAAGCTTCTACGAACCACGTTGCACAATAATCAGTGTATAAGCGACTTTGTTCCCATGGTAGATTACATATGCACAATCTGCTGTGCTTGTTCGCTTCCGGATGCAGCCTTTCCAGAGCCTGGGTTTAAGCTACACTCTTCATTCAAGCACAGGTCTTCATTAAATAAAGTGAACAGAAAAGAAAATCAGCATTCAGTCTTCACCACCCCACTCTAACTCAATTACAAAAACAAGTTAAAAAAAAAAAAATCAACGCAAACATGTCTTTTACAAATGGACAGTAAACAAATATATCCCTGGATGAGACATGCAGCCGCTGGGGGCAACGGTTTTGAAAATAAAGTGATATTTGGAAAGGACCCCACCACGCACACGCCTGTGAGCTTTCTGAAAGCGCACACACAACCAACACAACACTTATTAAGGTGCTTCTCCAAGCGGTGGATTTGCTGCCGCTGACGGTCTGGCGGGAAGGGCGACGCGCACCGAGCCTGGCTGCGCTGCTACAAAAGCAGCGGCTCAGGCGGCGTGCCGTGACCCGGCAGAGCCGACCTGAAACAGCAAGTTCATGCTGGCAGGGAGAGGGGGGAGCGTGGCTCTGCGTTAGACAGGCTGGTGTAAGCCACTTTCTACTGCCGATCGGAGCCCAGACCCCACTCCCTAGCGGGGAACGCAGACGGACAGACAGGAACGCAGTCGAGATGTGGTCCCAGGTACCCACAGCTCAAGCGAGGGAGGCAGAAGCCGCCTTCCCACTTTTACAGGAAATTGAGCCCTGATTTTCTAAGCCCCTCAAGTAGAACATTACTAGAAGTTTCGCGTGTTGTTCTTTTTTTCCTCTTAAAAAAAAAAAGGTGCAAGTATTTGCCCAAATAGGTGAATGCAGGAAGGCAGGACAGAACGTGGGAGAACTGTCACCATCTGCTCCTTAAGCACCAGCCCAGGACAAGGGCTGTTTAGCAGGATCAGGGACAGACAGGAACTCCCTCGACCACCAGGATGTTCCCCTGACCTTGTAGAAATCAGCTGTTATGTTGGTTTTGGTGACAGGTCAAGATGCATTGCTCAGGGAAAGCCATTTGCACCCCCAACCGGCTTTACCTGAGCAAGGGCTGGAGTTTGAGGTTTCACTGGGAACATTCAGCTGGTCTAATATACAGTAATAGTGACCTGAAAGGCTACCCTCCTCATCCAGTTTCACCCAAAACCGAAAGCTTGCATTCGCCGAACAGCAGCGGGGGCTGCCCCGTACCAGTCCTGCCCTGGCTGCACCGGATACCGTGCGTACTTTGCCCTGATGACTGTCCAGAGGATAGGTTTAGATCTGTGGTGATGGTTGAAGTATTTACAGGTATTTGCAGCAGTTATTTACAGTACTTCTGCAGACCGCAAGCCGATTTTCTCTTCCTCCACTCCTAGTCAATCTGGAGTGGGCTTCTTTAGTGAGAAGGGCCGTATATTGAAGTGCCTGCTCAGCTGGCTCACCTGCAGACAAGGCAGACAACAGGACTGGGTTAGCGAGGCTCAGAGCGACGAGGGAAAGCGGGCAGAGCGCCAGACCGGTTCCCTGGATGGCCGACAAAGCCCTGCCACCTTCCTGCACCACCTTCCCCACCACTGCCCACCCTACACGCTCCCCATGGGCGCAGCAGATCCGGACCACAGCCTCTGCCTTGCGCTGTGGGGCCGGCCAGGCTGCCCTGCCCAGGCACTGAGCCCCGTCCCTGCCAGCCTGACGCTGGGGCTGGCCGGGCACATGGCCCTGCAAGGGTGCAGCCTTGCTCCCTTCCCACACCTTCCCAAGTAACAGCCTGGTCCGTCCGGGAGCCCTCCTCGGGGGCAGGAGTCAGAAACGCCTGCCCTGAGCCCAGGCACGCAGGATTTTACCCTGCGGTACTGCTCCCTCTCTGCCCCTCCCAGCAATATTGTTATTATTTTGCTTAAATTAATTTGATAATCTCAGATACCTATGTGAAAAATTGCTCCCCAAATCCATTTGCAATTCAAACTGGGGGTCGAGTGCTTTGCATTGACCATGAAGCCACACGCAGGAGGGTTACAGAGAGGAGGGGAACCCAACGCCAGGCTTTGGATAATCAGGCGCCTTTTACACCCGCCTCTGGAAGAAGCCTTCCCCACCTCTTCTGAGGGCATGAGAAAACCACAGAGGACTGAGAGCTGCACCACGAAACGAGCTTTCAGGCACGGCTCGGAGAACCGCAGACAGGAGGGTAAAAGAGACGGTGTGGCACCGGCACCTGGTGACTGCAGGGTAACAGTCGTTGCAGAACGGCGCTGAGCAGCTACAGAGGCTGAGCTGGGCACAGAGTCAGGGCAGAGGGTTTATTCCCAACCGTTACTCCCAAATTCAGAGCAGTTGGAGATTATGTCCCAGTCATAGAGCCTTAAAAGACTCTTCAGCTCCATAAAGCCTCTCTCATGCTGGAAGAGAGGACTGCACAGATGTGCCCTCGGAAAGCCGGAGGTGGGGGAACCGAGGGGAACGCAGACTCGGGACCAGAGCACTGAGACGCTCACTGCAGGGGATGGGTGAGCCTGGGCAGACAGGAGGATTACACCATCTGGCCAGTCCCCCATCTCCAGCTATGATTCCAAGACCAAATTTATTTAAGCTTCTTAGCTATTCAAATCCTTCTTGCATAGAAGCCTCATTACACTAATTAGAAAGACAGGACAACCTGGCTATTACTTCTTTGCTGTAATTACAGTTCAAACTCAACTCTGGAGGCTCCACGTAAGAGCAGGGGTTCCCGGGGGACAGGGCTTCCCAAGGAGGAGGTACGCACGCGGCAGCGGCCAGCCCCGCAGGGGACACGGGGTCCCTTGCCCTAGTTCCTCAGCAGCTTCCCGGGGCATTTCTGCTGGGACTCAGCCTCCTCGGAGTTTGCGTCTTCTCTTAATCAAAACTCAGGGAGCGAGGCAGAGCTGGCACAGAGCAAGGGAAGCAAATCGGTCCCTAGATCTCTACAGAGCCCTTGCAGCAGGGGAGAAGGTAGAGCAGCTGCCGTGTCCCCACGTTTCCTAGCAGGGACGTCCCCCCTTCGCCCTGGTTCTCCCAGCGACTCCAGCGCAGGGCACGTCAGCGAGGTCGCAGATGGAACTCATCAGCCCGAGTAACACCGACAGCAGTTTAACTTTTTTTATACTGAGAGTCCCAAATTAAGCACTCCTGCCCAACAGGCAGACACAATACCTGCTGCTCTGGGTACCTACTGGAGCCGCCCTGCCCAAGGGTGTGGGTCACCCATGCTGGCTTACATCCAAGCCGGCCTCTAAGCTGCAACCGCAGCCAGGGTGAGTTAAACACAGCAGCAGAGATGCGAATATTTGTTTCAAACTAATCTCCGGTACAACGGCCCCCCGTCCCATTGTGCGAAGCTTGCTTCGAACCCACACGAGCCTCTGGCACAGGAGTCAGCTCAAGTTTCACAGACAGCATGACACAGAGAGCCGTTCCCGCTGACATTCCCGTTTTTAAGCGGAGCGTTCTCTGCCCCAAACAGCAGCAGCACCCAAGCAAAGCCTGCAGCCAGAGCACGGCAGCCAAGCCCGAAGCCAACGTGCCGAGTTCACCTACCACGACCACTCCGTAGTGGATGTGCGCCAGGGTGAGGAAAGCAGTTAACAAGTAGAGGAGAAGCGTTTCGCTGTTCGGCGTGAACCCGGACATCACCACGAAGAGCACCGCCGCTATGGGGAGCAGCATCCAGTTGAGAGGCTGGCAGCGTGTGCTGCTCATCTGACAGACGATCAGTTGGCACTGCAGGAAGAGAAAGCTGTCAGAGCTTGCACCCAGTATCGCCTCTGCAAGCCCAGAGCTGTCCACAGTGCAGAGAGGACGGGCACACGTGTACATGTACCAATCATCTCCACTTGCAACTATCATCACACAAAGTTTCCCTGAGTTTCTCACTCGGGATCTTTCTTTGCTTTGGAATTCCTGTGGGACACACAGAGCAGAGCCTCGTGGGGCAGGAAGGTAACAGGGAAACAGGCATCAAGGGCATCTTTAAAAGAAAAGAGTTCCCTTGAGCTGACCGAGCCTTACCAGCGTTATCTGCATGATCAGCAGAAAATCCTGCCAAGCAGCAGCGTGAGCTGCTGGACCCAGGGTATGGACACACAGAGCTGCTCAGCCACACAGAGTCATAGAATCGATTAGGTTGGAAAAGACCTTTTAAGATCATTGAGTCCAGCCATTAACCCAGCACTGCCAAGGCCACCACTAAACCATGTCCCTCAGCACCACATCTCCCCAGCTTTTAAATCCCTCCAGGGACAGGGACTCCACCACTGCCCTGGGCAGCCTGGGCCAGGGCCTGACAGCCCTTTGGGTGACGAATGTCTGAGGTGACGAGTGTGGGTGCCTTTGTTAAGGTCTCCAGCAAGCACAGATGCAATACGCAGCTAAATCGGATTTTGACAAAAGCTTTAGTCCCCCACATTTTAAGTTTATCCCAAAAAAGGAAGCGGGAACTCCTTTCGTATTAGCAGTTTGCTATTCACAACACAGAGGCTGCATGCGTGTGTAAACACACTCAATTTAACTAATTCTCTAGTTTCTCAAGAGTTGGAGCTGCAGCACAAAATCCACAGACCCCAAACCCCGTCTGCTTTCCTGTTTGTTCTTTCAATCACAGCAAAATAAAAAAGCTGTTAAGTTAATCTTCGCATCTCCCTTCTCCCCTCACATTTGAGCCGGACTTTTTCTTCCTGCCTCCCAAGCGTCCTGGCAGGCTTCACGCTCCCCAGGGGATCAACTGGAGCATAAAGCAGAAGCTGCTTACAGAAATGTTAGCGAAGGCTGTTCCAACCATGAAATAGAAGAGCCTGGGATGGACCTCCAGGATGTCCGTCGGAGACATGAAGATCCACGTGGTGCAGAGCAGGAACAGCAACACTGGGGATACCAGTGGCAGCATGATTTCGTACACAGAGTGGTGCTTCAAGGTGTTATTTTTATAGGCCCTGAAACACAAGCAAAGAAATGAAAACACATGGAACCACAGCTGAGAAATACCCGGTCCCTGCCTTCAGGAGAGGGCTGCAAAATCTCATTGGCCGTTCTGCTACTCAAAACTGCTGATATCAGTCAGAACCACAGTCAGAGGAGGAAGACGCACGCTTTCATTGTTAACTCGGAAAACTCATGAATTACAGAGGCACCTGGCTGGGTGGCTCTCTGGGTTAGAATCATGGAATCGTTAAGGTTGGAAGAGACCCTTAAGATCATAGAGTCCAACCGTTAACCCAGCGCTGCCAAGCCCACCACTAAACCATGTC